CAACAAGAAAGAAAATTTGACATATCCAAGGTGAGATGCTACAATTGTCAAAAGTATGGGCACTTTGCTGCTGATTGTAGGTCCAAGAAGAAGGAGGATAAAGCTTTAGTTGTTGAAGTTAAAGCTGATGAGGATCCCACTCTATTGTTGGCAGAAACTGAAGTGAAAGAGAACATGTTACTGCATAAAGAGCAAGTTTTGCTGAAGGCCAAAGGTGAAGAGAAGGTTGCTATCGAGGAAATGTGGTATCTAGACTCTGGGGATAGTAACCACATGACAGGTGACAAGGAGAAATTTATTGATCTTAATGAAGGAGTGTATGGGAAGGTGAAACTTGGTGATGGGTCTTTGGTTAAGATCCAAGGAAAGGGGACCGTGCTGTTGCAGTGCAAAACAGGAGACCACAAAAGGCTAAGTGATGTTTATTACATTCCTATGTTGTGTAATAACATTATTAGTCTTGGACAACTAACAGAACAAGGGTGCAAGGCTGTTATGCAAGGTGAGCAACTATTTTTATTTGATAAAGAAGGGAGCAAATTGGCAGAAGTTCAGAAGAATAGCAACAGGCTATATTTACTCAACCTGAAGATTGGAAGGCCTATTTGTTTGAAGAATGATGCATGGTTGTGGCATGCAAGATTTGGCCACATCAACTTTCAAACTTTGAAGGAGAGATGATCCAAATGAGAAGAAGATTCATATCAGCAGGGATATAATTTTTGATGAAGAAAAGAGTGGAAATGGGATGACAAAACCTACAAGCAGATGACAGAAAACAAGGCAGTTATGTGACTTTCAGGCTAGAAGGAGAAGCACACTCATCTTACCAATTGAAGAGCAAGAAGCAAAACTCCTGTATATCTACTATAGTCCTTCAAGGTATGTGACCTCTGAACCTCCTGTTACTAGAGAAATATCACCAAATTTAGATAGTAGTTGTCATAGAACCCCAATAGATATAGACGGTTGCAAGATATCTATGATGAAAACTACTGAAGTTGGAAGAGGAGGTTGGTGTATGTTTGACAGCTGTAGAAGAACCAATGTTTATATGATGGCAATTAAAGAAGATGTGTGGAAGAAGGCAATGGATGAAGAAGCTTGCTGCTATTCAGAAGAATCAAACATGGGAATTGGCTGATCTACCTGCTGGATGTAAGGCCATAGGGCTCAAATGGGTGTACAAAATTAGAAGAACACACAAAGGTGAGATTGTAAGGCATAAAGCATAGACTTGTTGCAAAGGGGTATGCTCAGAGATCCTGGTTGTGGATTTTTGGAAGAAGTTTTTGCTGCCAGTTGCAAGAATGGAGACATTAGAAGTTTGATTGCCTTTAGGCGCTCAAGAGGATTGGAAGATTACCATCATTTGGATGTGAAATCAACATTTTGGGAATGGTGAATTAGAGAAGGAGGTGTATGTCAACAGCCTGAAGGTTTGTGAAAGAGGGGCATGAAAAGCAAAAGTCTTGAGATTGAAAAGGCTTTGTATGGTTTGAGACAGGCACCAAGGGCTTGGAACACAAATTAGATGAGTGTTTAATATCCCTTGGTTTTAGAGAAATTCTCAGGAGCACGCCGTTTACATGAAGCATACTGAAGAATCAAGTCTACTTGTTTGGGAGTCTATGTTGATGACTTGATTTGTGCAGGTTGAGTTTCAGTGCAATTGAAGAATTCAAGGCTCAAATGAAGGTAAAATTTGATATGGAGTGATCTTGGCTTGTTGAGTTTTTAATTTGGGTATTTGAAGTGAATCAGACTGATATGATGAATAAATTATGTCAGGAAATCTTATGCATAAAAGATCCTTGAAGAATATGGGGATGAAAGATTACAATCCAGTGCAAACTCCTATGGAAGCCAGAATCAAGCTTACAAATCAGGTACACACATTCTTTGTAGATTCACACTCAATATAGGAGTATTGTTGGTAGCTTGAAATACTTGACTCATACACGGCCATATATTATGTATTCTGTTGGAATTGTGTAGATCAAGACTCCAAATTCTGAGCACCTTGCTGCTGTGAAGAGAATTTTGAGTATGTGAAAGGGACAACAGAATATGGTTTGATATATCCAAAGAGGCCAAGCAGTATGGAGGACTAATGCTTTAGTAAGTGATCACGCAAGGAGATATATATGACAGGAAGAGCACCTATTGGGATGG